GCGTGCATGAGAGACCCCCTCCAGCCACCCAGATTCAGGCTCATGGCTTTGTCAGGACTATCATGGTGATTCTGAAGCAGGCTGAGAAATGGGCAATGTCTCTATTGGGGTGGGCAGAGCATTGGGCAAGGAGTTAGGGCACTTGATCCAAGCTTACTGTGTGACCTTAAACAAGTTGCTTGCCCCTCTGAGCTTTTCTTTGTAACAGGAGGACACAGAGTCATTATTTTTCAATGACTGCTTTATGGTCTCCCTAGGATCGGGGTGTCCTCCCAGGAGAAATAGAGGGGCAAGAGTGTTGCGCTCCCAGTCCTGATCCAGCAATTTGCTTGTATTTATTTTATGTATTGGGCTTCAGGGGACTCTTTCTTTAGTCCCTATAAGCCTTGAACTGAATCCACCCCAGAGATCAGCTTTCAGCCAAGCAAGAGGCAGCCCTATAAAGTGAATGAAACCATGAGGAAGGTACTCCAGAACAACCAACCAGAGGAGACAAAAAGGCAGCATTTGCCCTAAAAACAAAGCTCAGAAGGCAGGAAGGGGCAGGGAAGAAGGACCAAGGGAAACAAGGTAACCAGGGAAGAAGTAGGAAGAGCCCTATTACACTGAGGACCCTATAGCCAACATCACTCAACAAAATGTGTCTAAATTGTTGAATGGGAAACCAATTTGCTCTGCAAACTTTCGCCCAAACCACAATAAAGTGTTAAAAACAAAAACAACAAACCAAAAACAAAACCCCATAGGTTAGAGGGGCAGGTCTGGAATATCTTCCCCTCCAAGAGTGAGGGACTCAGCTAGAACCAGATAGGAGCGGGAGGCTGGGTGGGGTGGGCATTCCCCTCTGAGCTGTTGCCTGCCCTCCATAGTGCCTTCCCCTGTCAGGGCCTGGCCCTCAGGGAGTGGCAGTAGGCAGGCAGGTGAGCAGACAGGCAGGCTTTCGACTGCACCTGGCCCTGCAAGAAGAGCCTGACCAATGTGGGTCACGGGGCCGGTGGCCCCTGGCAGCTCCCAGCCTTGCACTTGGGAAAGTGCACCTGTTGAGTGGGGTTCAGGATGTGGTGGGGTGCCCCGGAAATCCTGCCAGGTCTTTGGTGGGGGGAACAACCAAAGCTGAGCCCCTTGTGCTGGCTCTTTTTTGCCCGAAAGCTGAGTGTGAGTGTCAGAGCAGATGGTGCTGAGTTAATTCTGGGGTACTGGCCACCATATCGGGGGTGCTGTTTGAGGGTGAAAGGAGCCGAGTGATTGGCCCAACCTTTTCCCTATCCCACAGAGAGTTCTGAGGCCAGAGAAGAGTAGCAACTGAGTCTAGCTCATGCAAAGAGTCATCTGGTCACTGAACCCACACACACACACACACACACACACACACACACACACACAAGGAGTCCAACTTTGTGGCACCCTTAGCTGCCATTTACCAAACACATCTCTTTAGCTTTACCTCTGATTTGTCATTTTCTTCTCCGGACAGCCTTGTGGGGCATGTATTTGCATCCCAAATTCATGGGTGTGAACAGAGAGGCTCAGAGAGATGAAGGACTTCCAAAGGACACACATCTCTTAAGTCTGAGAGTTGCAATTTGAATCCACACTGTCATGTTTTGAGAACCTGGCTCAAAGTCAGCTTGACTCTTTTTAAGTTCAGTATCAGATTATAAAAGCAGTTCATGTGCATGACAGACACTGTGAACACATTAGAAAAGTAAAAAGAAGGAATTAAATTGATACACTCACCCACAGCATCAGCACCAGGAATCCTGGTGACACGGTGGGCTAAGCAGTGGCTGGCAGTTTGAATCCACCAACCACTCTGTGGGAGGAAGATGAAGACCTCTGCTTCCGTAAAACTGGCAGCCTGTGGGGACCCGATGGAGGAATTCTACTCTGGCCTCTAGTGTGGCTGTGAGTTGGAATTCACTCAAGAAGAGTACATTTAGCTTCTTAAAAAAAAATCACACCCAGAGACAATAGTTGGAAATATTTTGGAAAATTCCCTTCAGTATTTTTCTGTGTGTTTATTATGTTGTTGTCCCTGGTAGGCTAGTGAGCTAAGCATTGGGCTGCTAACTGCAAGGTCAGCAGTTCGAATCTACCAGCTGCTCCATGGAAGAAAGATGAGGCTTCTTATCCCTGTAAAGACTGACAACCTTGGAAACCCTATACAGGGTCACAATGAGTCAGAACCGACTATAGTTCAAAGTCATTGCCAGTTGCTGTGGAAGACATTGTGACTCGTGGGAACCAGGTGTGCACAGTAGACCTGCTCTATGATCAGAGCTGGGGCCTTTTGGAAGCAGATGGCCAGACCTGGGTGGGCTCGAACCAACAAACTTTTGGCTAGTAGTTGAATGTTTAGCCATTTTGTACTACCCAGGGACTCGATGTACATAGAGCTGTGAACGTCATGGAAGCAGACTGACCCATCTTTCTCCCTCAGAACGGCTGATGGGTTCAAACCCGGACCTGTCATTAGCAGTTGAGAGCTTTACCCACTGTGCCACCAGAGTTCCTTATGGAGATGTATGAATGCAAACCAAACAGATACAGCCCATCTGTAAACTGCCCAAGTGGGCACCCAGTATATGCATGCTGCCTTCCTTCAACCCTGAAGCTCTAAAGACAACAGTGGGAGTCAGTCTAGCAAAAACGCCAGGCTGCCGAGTCCTTTCCGACTCATGAGGACCCCGTGGGTTACTCATGAAGACCCCCTGGGTATCAGAGTACAACAGTGCTCCACCGGGTTCTCAAGGATATCACCAGGCATTTCTGCTGAGGTATCTCCAACCTTTTGGTTACCTGACGAACATATGAACTATTGCACCATCCTGTCAGATTGGAATTCCTGGAAAAAAGTGATGGATGTAGCTTCTTTTCTCTTAATAAATATTGTTCCCATGCCACCAAGTCCTGAGTACTAGAACTGAAAGGATGCAAAGGCCCTTTCGATGGAGACCGTCCTTTCCATGCATCTCAGTTTTCTGAAGAGAAACTGAGGCCCAGGTTTCAAAGGTCACACGAGGAAGGCATCGTTGGTCCAGAGGAGAAATGGGCGAATCTCAGTTCTGACTGCTTGTCCTGGGATGCAAAGCGTTAACCCAGAAAGACAGGAGACAGAGGTCAGGAATCTGGAGAGCCAGAGCTAACCAACTCTTTCTCCTTTGCCCCTTTCTCACTGTTCTGAGAAGCAACTCTGCCTCTCTTGTCCTCTTTCCCACCACCAGCCTCTGCAAAAACCAGTCAGCAATTAAATCAAATTGTTCAACCATTTCATTAGGAAGACTCTAGCCTGTGTGGGTGGGACTTTTTCATTTGTCTCAAATCAAATCCTCTTTCAGATCCGTTAACTCCTTCTTGGAGTAAGTCCCAGTGAGGAGCCTGGGGTCCTGGTTTGGCATTGTGGATTGACCCTTTGGACTTTGTAAGACTTGGACTCCAGGCTGAGGACAAAGTCTGGGTGGGTGGTGGGTGGGAGAGGACAGATTTCTAATGGGGTTGACACCTGCTGGGGGGGGCGGAGCCCACCCACCCCTTCTCTTGTTTGTCCCACAAGACAGGAATCACTTCTCCCTGCTTCAGGAAGTCCGGGAGATTGCGGCTTCTCTAAGACACTCTCAATTCTGCAATATTTAGGTCTCTTTTCTAAAATGTTTGCAGGACAGCCCCGAATCTAAGCATTTATCCTCACAGAGAGACTGAAAAGGTCACTTCAAAAGGCAATAATAAACGCCTATTTTATGGCTGGTCATGCTCTAAGTGCATTACATGATTGATCTAGGTTAATTCTTGCAGCCATAGCCCAACATGGTCCTGTTACTTCTTGAAAAGGACCCAAGGTCACCCCACTGCAAGCACATTCAAGGCTAGCTGGTCTGGCTCAGAGTTCACCCTTACTGCTGTCATGGTACCTACCTATGGGAGACTCAGCGTTAGAACTTCAAATCTCGGCTCCAATGTAACTTTCCTTGTGACCTTGGACAAGTCACTTACCCTGAGACTGTGTTTCCTTAATGTCAAAATGATGCAGGGATTTTACAGTCATCAGAAGTCACAGTAGGTAGCGTAGTGTTTATGAGTCGGGCTGCTAATCTCAAAGTCAGCAGTTCAAAACTACCAGCAGTTCTGTAGGAGAAACATGAGGCTTTCTGCTCCCAGAAACCCTAGACAAGGTCACCATGAGTCAGAACCCACTCCACAGCACATAACCACCAACAACCCCAATCAGTAACCAGATGTCACTGAGTAAAGAGATAGCCAGGTCTTTCTTCAGCACCACCTCTGAGTAGATTCAAGCTGACAACCTGTTGGGCTAGTTGTTTCGTGCCGTTGAGTGGATTATAACTCATAGTGACCTTCCATAGGGTTTCCGAGAAGTCCTGGTGTGGCACTGTGGGTGGGGTAAGTACTGGATTGCAAGGTCGATTTGAATCGCAAGGCTGGTGGTGTGTTTGAACAGTACTAATCCTACAGCATCACACCGGGACTTGAGTGGCAGGCTAAGTATGCTGCAAACATGTAATATGGTCATGAATGTTTCCTTTGTCATTGTTTGTCAAAGCAAGTTGAAAAACTCAAATCAATGAGAAAACATGGAAACAGAAAGAGTAGCCCATCCCCACCTCTTTAGGTGCTAAAACCACACAAAGCCTGAGGATTAGGTGCTCTGGATTCTTCATGCAAGGAGCTGAAGGCAAGGGGGAGAGATTTTTCTGGACCCAATTTGTCACCATCAACACCCACCCTGCCTCACTGCGCTCAACTCGGGCATGGACGGATGGAAACTTTTGCCACCAACACTATTTTCTAGCAACTTCCTTCTGTGTGGTTTTTCTGCCAACCCCCTGATAAAAGCACTCAAGCTGCACACACGTCGTCGCAGCCAACACTGATGAATCTCATCTTCACACACCAGAAGCAAACAGCCTGTAGGATGATGCACAATGCACCCTAAACTGGGTCCTTTCACACCCAGAGGCCTGGGGACTTGGCTAATCTTTCCTGTGTGTCTCCTTCACCCTAGGCTTCGAGCGGCTGCCACTGCCCGACGGGGAGAGAGAGAGATGGGAAACAGTGTCAAGTCCACTCCTGCCCCACCCGAGAGGCCTCTGCCCTGCCCAGAAGGTAAGTCAGACTTTTATGGTGTGGTGTTAGCTCTGTCCCAAGGACCCGGTATCCACAGCCCAGGGTGCATGCTGACCATGGCCTCAAGGGATCATGCTACCTGTCCTTCTAATTTTGTCTATGGTTAAAACTGTTCATAACTAAAGGCTCCAAGGAGCCGGAGGTAGTGGTGGTTGTTGTTGTGTGGTTGTTAGGTGTTCTCCAGTCAGTTCTCACCCATAATCACCACGCACAATGGAATGAAACACTGCCCAGCCCTGCATCATTCTCATAATTAAGTGTTCTGTTGGAAACTGTCATTGCAGCCACTGTGCTGGTTATCTCACTGTGGGGTCATCCTCTTCCTCACTGACCCTCCACTTTACCAAGCATGATATCCTTCTCCAAGGACTGGTTCCTCCTGATAAAACATGTCTAAAGTATCTAAGACCAAGTCTCGCCATAGTTGCTTCTAAGCATTGTGACTGAACTTCTTAACATGGTGTTCGTTCGTCTGGCAGTCGGTTATCTATTTTCTTTTCTTTACCAACATCTTCATCCAAAGGCATCGATTGTACTTCCGGTCTTCCTTACTCATTGTCCAGCTTTCTCATGCATAGGAGGCGACTGAAGATACCAAGGCTTGGCTCAGATACACCCTCAAAGTGACATCTTTGCTCTTGAACACTTTGTAGAGGGCTTTTGTACCAGATTTACCTAACGTAATGTGTCGTTTGATTTCTTTACTGCTTCCATGAACTCTGGTTAGGGATCTAACTAAAATGAAAACCTTGACAACTTCCATCTTTACTCCCTGTATCATGATGCTGCTTACTGGTCCAGTGGTGGTGAGTTTTGTTTTCTTGTTGTGGAAAACGCTCCTGAAGTATCCTTGGCATTTTGATAGGGATCTTAGAGATCAAAGGTACTTGAGCCCTTTGTTTGACAGTACAGGGAAACTGAGACCAACAATATGAATGCAATGGTTTACCTGTGCCTATTTATAGTTGGTCAGATTTGGGATCCCAGACTCTTGTCACCACACCCTACCGGCCTTGTAGCTAAGGGAACTGAAATATAATATGATCATGGAATAATCTGCTCAGAAAAAGTCTTTTCCATGCTACTCTACTAAGTCAGACACTATGAGGTTTTCACATACTAACAGAGCCTTCGTATCCCACGAGTAGGGTTACAAGAAACCCAGCATTCTCTGGGAAGGGCTCAACGTTGTGACATTAATCAGCAATGGAACAAGGTGGCCCTCCTGAGAGGTACCAGGTGAACCGGACTTCTGCTGAGACAGGGATCTGGGAGGGGACATCAGGAAACAGAGCTGCGCCCCGCTCCTTTCTAACACGTTGCCATATTTCTTCCGCTTCCTGGTCAGGTGGAGGCAGGTGGAGTGCTCACACTCCAAGGCTCCTCTGGGAGGTTGGAAGGTGGTGGTCAGCACGGTCAGGTGGCCCACCAGTGGCCACGGGGTGAGTCAAGGAACACTTTTAGACACTTGTGCCACCCTCCTTACTTCATAGGTACTCAGAGGCTGTTCTCCGCTCCCCTAACACCTGGTGATGCTGAGAGTGGACAGTGTTAGGGACCCACCTGACCCCTCACTGCACATTCTGTGGCCCCTTAAAAGGAGCCTTTTCACTTTTCTCAAGTTGGAAACACCAGGGCTGTGGTCCATGGCCCTTCCAATGCCCTCACATGAGGCCTACTCCCCACCCCCATTCCCTCAGACACAAGTATCCCAGTGGCTCTTCCTTGTCTAGCCCAGCAAGCCTCTTCCCAAACCCAAAGGCAGAAAACAAAAAGGAAGCTCCCCAGGGTCCAGGCGCTGGAAGAACACGATAAGGTGGACTAGTGTTGTATGCAGTGTTGGCTGGGAAGGGGATCTCTGCCTCCTATGCAGAGCTCAGAGCAGGGTATACCTGGGACACGGCAGCTGTCCACTCAGCTGTCCACCTCCTGTCCTACCAGTTGTGCTGGAATAGACTCTGCCACACAGCCACCCAAGGAAGTTTAGAGTAGAACCGTGCACTACAGGCTTTCAGAAGTTGATTTCCCAGAAGCCAGTTGCCAGACTTTTCTTCTGAGACTCCTCTGGTTGGTGTCAAACCTCCAACCTTTCAGTTAGCAGACTAGTACCCTAGAGGTTTTCACTAGCCAGGGCAAGTTGACCTTGTAATGACCTGGGCAGGATGGGCTCAGGAGGTACCTCTCATCTAAGGCATTCTGTGGCATCATTTCTCAGATGGGGGACAAGGGGCACTATGCTTGAGCAAACCCCATGAAAACATCGGCCTCTCAGGGCTGGCTCATTTGCCTTTATTTTTCCCATGCAAATCATCATGAACTGAGTTTCCCTTTTTCCATTGTGTGGGTGGGTGGAGGGCACCTTGAAGAAGGAGGCAGAGGGGTCTCCCCAGCCCTACCTCTCTCCCCCGCAGGTTAAAAGAATTCCCCCGGTCAAGCCCAATATGCAATCCAAACAACCACATCAAGGATGGGGGGGCTGCCCCAATTCCTGCCAAGTTCCCCTTGCCAGCTGACTCACTGTATTTCCTCTTTTCTTCACACCTTCTTGAATCAAGGGGAAAGAGGCTGGGTAATTAGTCCTGATCTGCATAATGCAAAGGACCTGGGTTTTCAAGGAATGAGAGAGTTGGGCTCCTGGGCTTACTGGGGCCTGAGTCTCAGGGCAGCCTGCTGATGGCTTTATGCAAAGCTCACTTAGAACTGCTTCTCACTGACTGCTTTAGCCCAAGAGCTCGAATCCCCCAAGGTCCCTGGGTCTGCAGCTGCCTGATCTACAGACCTGTAGACAAGCAAGTTGAGCTTTCGGATCTCTCTCCCCAAACCCAGAATGGGAATGCCTTAGCCTATAACTTTGGCCAACTATCTTCCCTTAAGCTAAGTTTTCCAGAGCATTCCTGATGACTCTAGTTCCCAGGGGTGGCACAAGTGCTTAAGGTACCTGGCTTCTAACCAAAAGGTTAGTGGTTCCAATCCACTCAGGGGTAACTCGGAAGAAAGACCTGGCAACCATTTACTGAAAAATTAGCCATTGAAAACCCTGTGGAAAACAGATCTCCTCTGACACCCAGGGAGGCACCATGAGTCAAAATCGACTCAGTGGCAACTGGTTTGGTGTTTTACTTGTTTGTGGGATTTCACAGAACCCACAGAGGCAGAGGCTGTAGGTTTTGGCAGAAATAGGTCAGGTTTCAGTGGCAAAGGATCCTATTTAAGTTTCGGGTCTGATTGCCCCCATCCCAGGAAGAGCACCTCACAAAAAAACCTGCCTGATACATGTGTGTGTCAAACTGCTTAAACAAACAAAAAATCACCATTTGGGGTAATCTGATTGCAATCAGCTGTGTTTAAATAATCATTCCCAAATGTTGTAAATTGCTGGAACCATCGATTCCAAATCAGCCCCATAGTTCATTTTACTCTATGGTTCTGCCTGGGTGGGGAGATCCAACACACCGCTGGGATTTCCCAGTGGGACAGGAAGCGGCAGATTTCCATCCTGAGAAGAGAATCCACCTCTGTCATGTCTTCTCCTATTTGTTTCCACCTTCCTCTCCTCCACCTGAGAGAGATGGGCTGACAGATGTGGCAAAGCCACGCTAAAGCTGTACAAACCCTTTCTTGTGAGCCCTGGTGAGGGTGGAAAAAGTACCACACGAGCCACTTACTGAGTCAGCAAAGCTGCTGCCTCAGCGGAAAGAATGGGGTGGGGGTCTGGGGAGGAAGATGGGGCCCGGAAGGCTCAAGGTCCAGCTTGGACCTCCTCAGTGAGTGGTCCGCAAACCACCTGCGGTAGATTCAGAACCCAGAAAACCAAACCAAGTTGCTCATCGAGTCAATCCCAAGTCATGGTAACACCTACATGTCTGCGTACAGCTGTGCTCCACAGGGTTTTCAGTGGCCGTGAGGAGCCCTGGTGGCGCAGTGGGTCAGGCACTGGTTCGAACCCACTAGCTGCTCCATAGGCAAAAGATGAGGCAAAGATTTACGGCTTTGAAACCCCTATGGGGCAATTCTACTCTACCCGGTGGGTTGCTATGAGGCATGAAATGATGCCATGACAGTGTTTTTTTTTAATTTGTTTTGTTTTTGTGAGTGATCTTTCTAAAACTGATTGCCGGGTCTTTCTTCCGAGCTACCTGTAGGTGAATCTGAACTACCAATCTTTCCTTTATCAGCTGACTGCGTTAACTGTTTGTGTCCCGCAGGGATTTACCCAAATTAAAATGCAGACCTGCTCATCAGAACCAGGTGATGGTGGCAGAAGCAGCAGGCTGGGTTTTTTTCTAGATGCCCATGGGGTGGCCTCCCATTCCTGGTAATCCACTGTGTCTCAGGGCAGAACTCAGCTCCATGGGTTTGTCATGTTCGTTTTGTTTGGTTGTGCAGTGTGGGTTTTCCATTTGCGCACATCTTGTTTTGTGACGAGAGTTACAGTCCCCCTTTCCTGTTTCTTCCTTGGGTTCCGTTCGCCCTTCTTTCTTTCCTGTCCCGTCCTGCTTTCTGCCCTGTTTTGAGTAAATGCTGCCTTTTTGGTTTCATGTGGTTGGCTGCACTAAGAAGCACTTCCCTCCCTGGTGTTATTACTCATTTCACATTGTTGTTGTTGTTGTTGTTGTTAAGTGCTGTCGAGTCAGTTCCAACCCATGGTGACCCTGTATAGGTTTCTGAGATGCGGTTACTGAGTTTCAACCTCTAACCTTGCAGTTCAAATTGACCTTGCAGTCCAGCGCATTATCCTACAGTGCCATCCAGGGTTCTATTCACTTTATAGGCCTGTCTATGGTTTGGCTGAAAGTTGATCCCAGAGGCTGGGCTCAGTTCCATGGTTGGAGGTTGTCTGTTGTTGTTGTTAAGTGTTGTCGAGTCAATTCCGACCCATAGCAACCCTGTATAGGGTTTCCAAGGAGCAGCTAGTGAGCTTGAACCACTGACCTTGTAGTTCAAGCGACTTTGCAGTCTGACGCATTAGCCCACAGCGC